TCAAACAAGCAAGCAAGCAAACAAACAAACAAACAAAAAAGGTAGAGAAGCAATTGAAGAAGACATTCCAGTATCAACTTCTGGTCTCCACCCGTCATACATATATCTCACACACACATACACACACCACACATAATAAAATTTTGTAAATGATTATATTCAATCACACTGCCATGAAATTGCTTTCACTAAGCAAAATTTTGTGCCAATAATGTTTAAATTTTGACTTATCTTTCATAGATAGCTTAAATATTAACTAATATACATGTAACAATACTGCATATGTATGTGTATATACATATATATATAGTTTATAAGGAATATTTTGTTTTGCTTGCTGTGTAGCCCAGGGTGACCTGGAGCTCCTGATCCTCCTGCCTTGGCTTCTCTACTGCTAGGATTACAAGAATGCATTAGCATCCAGTTTATGCAGTGCTGAGGATTGAACCCAGGCCTTTGTGTATGCTCAACAAGCACTCTACCAACTGAGCTACATCTCCATCCCTGTTCCTGCTTTGCAAGGTTTAAAAAAAAATTTTTTTAAAGACAAAAGTCTCACTATGCAGCTCTGGCTGATGTGGAACTGGTTATATAAATCAGACTGGCCTCAAACTCACATATAGATCCACCTGGCTCTGCCTGCTGAGTGCTGGAATTAAAGACCAATGCCACCACTCATGGCTATTTTGTGGGGTTTTGAGAGCTTATTTAGAGATTCTAGCTGGGGAGCACAGCTACTCCTATACCTTTAGACCAGACTGGTCTTCTACTATGGAAGGAAGAAGTTCATCCTCTTCAACCGAGAGTGCAGCTTCAGGAGGGACACACATGAAGTGGCAAGGGAAGAAGGGGACACCTGCCTAGCCAGCCAGATCAGCTGAATCAACTCTGGTGATCAATAGCCAGATTACCCTCACATTCAAGATTTTAATTTTTTTAATTAAAAAAATTTTTTAGAAGAAGTATTTCATTTCAGCTTTAACATACTCAATAACAGTTTCCAGAGCAAAGATACATCTCTTTCAAAAGTGGCTATAAAATTTTTAGGTTCGCTGTTGAATTAATACAGTTATACAATATTGAATTCAGTATAAGCCCTGGAAGACATTGTTTCTTATGGAAAGGCTCATTGTTTTTGCTAATAACACTGAGATGTTGGCACATGCATCTCTCATCTAATTATGTGTGTCTGTGTGGGAGTATGGGAATTGAACGGAGGTGCCTGTAGAGTCCAGAAGAGGGTGTCAGATCCCCTGGAGCTGGAGTTACAGGTGGTTGTGAGCACCTAGATGTGGGTCTGGTAACCAAACTCCAGTCCACTCCAAGAGTAGTATGCACTGTTAACCACTGAGCCATCTCTCCAGCCCCTGTGGATTTTTTGAGACAGCAGCTTGATAGCCCAAACTGGCCTACCACGATTCTTTGCCACTGCCTCCACAGTGTTTTAGGCTTGAGACACACTAGCAGGTTTTGTCTTCATTTTCGTTATTTGTATTTTTATGCATATGAGTGTTTTGCCTACATGTATGTTAAGTGTATCGTGTGAATGTAGTGCCCACAGAGGCCAGAAGAGGGTGTTAGATCCCCTGGAACTGGGGTTACAGTGGTTGTTAGATGCTATGTGGGTTCTGAGAACCTAACCCAGGTACTCTGCAAGAGTAGTCAGTGCTTTTAACCGTGAGCCATCTCTCTAGTTTTGTTGAATCAGTGTCTCATGGATCCCAGGCTGGCCTTGAATTTACTATACAGCAGAGGATGACCTTGGACTCCTGATCCTCCTGACTCCACCTCTCAAATGCTGGGATTACAAGTGTGCAGAGGCCCCACCACAATGGCTACACCTGGCCACTGAACAAATGCACAAGCTCAGGGAGGAGCTACAGGGCACCCTGGGAGCAGTGGAAAATGCAGTTAGGGGCACTGGGTGCTGAGCAGATAGTAAGAGCAGGGCTGAGACCCTGGAAGATTGTGTGAGGGCCAGAGTTGAGAGTGAAAACACCTGCTTTCCCCTTAAATCTCTAATCTGGTGTGAAGAGGGCAGAAGCTGGATCTTTGGACAAGTATTTTCTCAGGCTTAGAGATGGCCAGCCAGGGCCCATTAGTTTGAAGGCACCTAGGAGAGACCCTCTGTGATGAACTCCACATTGGTGGCAAACTGGACTGGTCCCCAGAGGTAAGGCCCAGGCTTCTTCCTCTGAACTTTTGGCACATCTCTGACTTGCTCACATGTGCTTTTTCTGTCCTGTACCCCAGCATGTTTGTGGTGCAATGCTCCACATGGAGTATCAATAACTGGGACAGTATCCTGTCTTCATTTAACAACCTGGGTAGGAATAGGTGCTCAGACAACCTTTGTTAAGTGACTATTTCCAGAGGTTTATTGAACCCATGTCGGCTAACTTGCATTGCTCTGAACCTTGGGAATACATTAGTGGATATGCATTCATGGAAGTTGGAGTGCAGTAACAGTTCATGCAAGACTTTGGAGAGCTCCTAGTCTTTATTCTTGGCTCCTGGCACGTAGCTCCTAAAACCCTGGGAATCTCCTAAATGCTATCAAATGAAATGGTTAGTAACTTTGTCCCTCTCTCTCCTCCTCCCCAGGTCTGGGACAGGGGCAGGTTTAAAGCCAAAGTTTCATTAGAGATGTGGGGCTGCCCAATCTCAGGGGCTAAAGACCGAGTTAGTCATTAATAGTCAACTATTTAATCAAGCATGATTACTTAATTCATTAAACCTCATAAAATCAGCTGGACGTGGTGGTGCATGCCTTTAATCCCAGCACTTGGAGGCCAGAGGCAGGTTGATCTCTGATTTCGAGGCCAGCCTGGTCAAGTTTCAAGCTAGCTACAGCTACAGGAAGACCAGCTCAAAAAGAAAAAAAAAAAAACAAAAAACAAGGGCCTGGAGAGATGTCTCAGTGGTTAAGAACACTGCACTGACTGTTCTTGCAGAAGACCCAGGTTCGAATCCCAGCACCCACGTGACAGCTAACGACTGTCCATAACTCCAGTTCCAGGAGATCCGACAGCCTTTTCTGTCCTCCGCCAGCATTGCACAACACGGGTGCACTTAATTACATGCAGGCAATACACACATACATATAAAATTTTTTAAAAACCCTCATAAAATCCCCAACATAGATCCCCAGCTCTGCATAAAACAATGGAGTTAGGGGAGGTTTTAGTACATGTAGTTTCTGGGACTGTGGTGCTGCCCAGAGGGTGCGGAAGCTCCCTGCAAGCGATATACTTGTCCATAAGCATCTCTTCTATTTCCTCTTTAATAAATTGATATAGCAAACCATAAAGTTTATGAGTTCTGTGAACTGGAGGATGATGGAAATCCCTGATTTGTTATATATACAGCATTATCCTCTGAGCATAAGTTGACTGCTATCTTCATAAGACCAACTGTGCCTACATGTAAAAATTCATCATAGCTGGGTTTTTTGACTGTTAACATGCCCTCATAGAAAAGAGGGAGCTAGGAAAGACATGGGACCATCACCTGAGCATCCAGTCACATCACCCAAGCAGTTGTATGCAATACTGCCCTAATTGCCTCAGGTAGCCGTGAGGGGCTAGAGCATGCAGGATAGGGAGGATTCAGGAGGCTCCATCTATACAGCCCCCCCGGCGGGGGGGTGCGGTGAGACATCATCCATGCTGGGTAAAGACTTTCCAGTGCAGTTGTTTTGGGGTCACTCACAATCCTGCCCATAATTCCTTAACACATGCTTTGTAAGTAAATCCAATAAACTCAGTGGTTCCCAGGGTGAGCTGTAGTGGATCGTACTTTGGTTTGTTAAGACCTTAAGTGGAAGGCATGGGCAATGCTTAGTTCCCACCCCCCAGGGAGAAAATTCTGGCAACACGACATGAAGAAAATTCTGGCAACATAAACACATTACCAGGGAGGTCTTAGATTTGGAATGCTAGCAACAAGCTCCTGTCAAGAGTCTCTGTAGGGGGAGTCAGGCATGCTGGCACACGCCTTTAATCCCAGCTCTTGGGAGACAGAGCCAAGGGGATCTCTGTGAGTTCAAGCCCAGCCTGGTCTACATATCAAGTTCCAGACCAGCTGGGGCTACAGGGAGACCCTGTCTCAAAAAAAGTACCCCTCCCAAAAAGTTTTTGTATGCATCTGCAGCAGCAGCAGCATCTCAGAAAACACTTGAGAAAAGTAACGTTAATTTTCTGATCTGAACTGACAAGATGGCCTCTTTCAGAGCAAAATTAATAGCCAGAATAATTTTGCAAAAACTTTATGATCAATTAAAAGTAAAAAATTCTTGCCGGGCAAGGTGTCACGTGCCTTTAGTACTAGCACTCGGGAGGCAGAAGCAGGCAGATATCTGTGACTTCAAGGCCAGCCTGGTCTATATAACTAGTTCCAGGCTAGCTGGAGCTACAGGGAGACCCTGTCTCAAAAAGACAAAAAAAAAATGCTGAAAGAAAAACTAGAATATTTAAGTGAATCTAAGAAACAGAAATATGAACATATGGGGGGGGACAGGAACTGAGACACAGAAGCAGGAATTACTTTCATCTTTTATGCTTTAAATATGAATGCATGGGGTGGAGAGTTGGCTCAGCAGTGAAGAGCACTGACTGCTCTTGAGGAGGACCCAGGTTCCATTCCCAGCACCCACATGCCAGTTAACAACCATCCCTAACTCCAGTTCCAGGGGATCCGACGTCCTCTTTTGACCTCCTCGGGCATTGCACGACACAGGTGTACTTACACACGTACACGCATACACATAAAATAAATAAATTTAAAAAAAAAACATGAAAGCCGGGTGTAGTGGTACAGGCCTTGAATCCCAGCACTCAGGAGGCAGAGACAATGATCTCTGTGAGTTCAAGGCCAGCCAGATCTACATAGTGAGTCCCGGGCTAGTTGGGAGCTACAGGGAGACCATGTCAAAAAGATCAAAAAAAAAAAAAAAACTAAAAATTGAAACATCAATGCTTTATGTTTCCAAAGAACCCAATTATGGAAACAAAACTTTATTTCAGTTTTACTTTAAAACATAATAAACAGGTTGTAAAGTTCTCAATTGTTATTAAGTTGCTTGTACAAACTTAAAGTCATGAGCATGACTTCAGGATCTGCACTCTTTATGTCAAGTGCTTTAACTAAGCAGTTGAGGGCCTCCTGTATTTTCCCAGATTCTTTCAGTTCTTTTCCACGAGCTACAAGTGTGTCATAGTCATTGGTAGCCTCCTCTACGGCTGTATCCTGAGGACAATCAACTGAAGGTTCCCTGGACAAAGGCTCAGGGGCATCAGGAGAACTCTGTGGAGCTAGAGAACTAGGCTCAGGCATAGTCAAGCTGCTGGGCTTGTTTTCTGAAGACAGAGGTTCCCCAGAAGGATCTTCTGTGCACCCTAAGGCTTCATCACTGCTCTCTTCTTCCGAACGACCTTGAGCACTCTCGGAGTCACTACTGTTGTCAAGCTTTTCCTCCATATCTTCTATGTCATCTAAAACCACATTGATCAGAGACCTCCTAGAAGCTAGAGATCTCCTAGAGTTTACAGATTTATTCACATTGTCAGGTATTTTAGGTGAAAAGAATCTTCCATGGGGAATGGTGTCATTTTTGGGAGTTGAAGCATCAAACTGTTTCACAGATGAGAACTGAAAGGGAGAGGTGCTGAATGAACTTGTGCTGGAAGTACCTTTTAAAGCATCATTTTCATCTTCATCATCTGAGATGATCCTTCTAGCTTTGCTTCTGGCTTTAACAATAACTAATTCTTCTTCCAGCTCATCATTCTCAGAAGAATCCACACTGAGATTAAGGGCTGACTCTGCTCTAGAATCTGCTGCAGAGCCATGCAAGCTATTTTTTTTCTCAACATGCTCCAAAGACTGGTCAGAGAGATTTTGTGTAGCATTTGCAGTGTCTTCCAGGAAAAGATTGAAATCACATGCATACTGTGGTGACAATGCTAACAGGTCATTTTCCATCTTGGCCTCACTTGCTTGAGCACCCTGAAGTGCACCAGGGGATGCTGGGAAGTCATCAGACACTTCAATGATGGGTACATCTGATTTTGTGTTTTGATTTTCATTTACTGTGGGATTAACAGGCTGGGGACCACAGTAATATAAACTCTCTTCATCCTGCAGATCTAGATTTGGCCCAAGATCAACTTTGCCAGATTGGCTAGCTAAATAATTAAAACTTCCCAGGAGGGTCTCCTGCAATGTCTCTTGCTTAGGCAACTCCTGTAAAGCCTTCGTTTGCACAGCTTCATTTTCAGTTGCAAACGTTTCTGCTATTCCCAATACAGAGTCAGTCCCAATTCCTCCTATACTTCCAGGCCCCTGGGGTAAAGTAGCTGTAGAGCCAGCATCAAATGTACTTTCAGGCTGGTGCCTATCATCTTGTAGCACACTAAGATTCTTTACCTCAGAGACATCACTCTCTCTGGACTCTCTCTCTGGCTCACTCTCTCTGGATTGATCATAAATGCTTACACTGGCCATGTGAGAACTGATATCCTCCTCCTGGGCAGGACTTGGAGTTAGAAGAGGTGAAGGCTGAGACTGTGGTTTGTTCAATTCATGCCCTTTCTTCTTTGTTTGAGAAGGAAATACAGATGCTCTGAACTCCTCATTTCCAGTTCTTTGTCTTCCCATTGTATTTTGAGACTCAAATTCAACAAGGAATTGAGCTTTCTGAACTCTCTGTTGAATATACTGAGATTCTTCTATCACGTCAAGTTCTTCTTTAACAGATAGATCATGTGTGTACATCAAATCATGGTCCGATATTCCTGCTATGCCCAGAGACTGTACGTAGGCAATATGCTTGTCTAGTTCCTCATCAGATCTCCTCTGAGCAGCATGGAGAGACTGAAGCTGCAGCTGGGTTACAGAGTTCTGCAAATCCTCAACTGTGAAGAGCTCTCTTAACTCCTGTTTACTGAAATAGCGGAATGGGTTTTTCTTATCTCCAGTAGTTTGTCTGATTAACGAGTCCTTAAAAACCTGTCTTCTATATATTTTTTCCTCTACAGTCCCACAAGTAATTAGCCTGTAAACCACAACATTCTCTTTTTGTCCAATTCGGTAAACTCGATCCACAGCCTGAGCATCGGTTGCAGGGTTCCAGCTAGGATCAAAGATGACCACTCTAGTTGCTGCAGTTAACGTTAGGCCAACACCACCGACTTGAGTGGTAAGCAGAAAAACAGAGTATTCTTTATTTTGCTGGAATAGCTGAATTCTTTTTTCTCGTTCCCAAAGGTGAGTAATTGTGCCATCAATTCGCAATGTCTTGAAGTGCTTATTCTTTAAGAGGCGCTCAATGATGTTGAGAATTTGTCTCGACTGGGAAAACACCAAAGTTTGATGCCCTTCGTCTCTCAGTCTCTTCAGCAGGGCCATCAAGAATATCATTTTTCCAGATTCTTGCATCAGTGCATCATCAGTTATGTGAGCAATGCTGTTCACATCTGAGGAATCTTCCTCCTCATTTCCCTCTTGAGCAGAGAATCTGACAGTCTCTAGGTTCAGCAAATGACAAGCTCGTGCAGAGAGCAGCCTAGGATGGTCACAGAGCTTCTTTAAGACGCCGAGCTCAGCCAGAGGTGAGCGTGTCTCCATTAGCAACTCCTTGATGTGATCTAAAGACACGAATTTCCTGTAAATCTCTTCTTGTAAAGACACAAGACGTACCCAAATGATTAAATCGTTTTTCCTGGTAAGGGAAGGCATTTCACAAATGGGATCAGCACCTGGATTCTTTTCATTAAGTCTGGCCTCCGGGTTGTCTGACTTTTTCTTCTGTACTTCTTCTTTGGTCCTCCTGAGAAAATAGGGTTTTATGATTTCCATTAAGTTTTCAGATATCTTAAGTCCCAAGGCCTTTTCCCCTGGAGTAGCATCCTTCTCTCTTGCTCTAATAATAGGATTTTCATACTCCATTTTAAAAGTTTTTAATGTTCCTAGCAAGGAGCCTTGGCAAGCAAAATCAAACAGTGACCACAGTTCTTGCAAATTATTCTGTATTGGGGTTCCTGTAAGGAGGAGGCGATTACTTGCAGGAACAGCTCGAGCACATATGGCTGACTTGGTAGAGGCACTTTTGATCTTATGGGCTTCATCAAGGATGACATAATCCCATACAAATGCTTGGCCATTAAAGCTTGCAAGTTGCTGCCAGTTATTAATTAGCATTTGGTAGGTAGTGATAATGACGCCATTCCTTTGCTGAATCCGGTTCAGGTTTCTGGTACGCTCATCTTTGCTGGGGCCATGAAAGGTTTTGACTCTCATTCCTGGAGTCCACTTGGCAAATTCTTTGACCCATGTGTTAATGAGATTGGTTGGCATGATCAACAGCACATGATTCACAAGTGAAGCATCAAACATACCAGACAGGAAAGCAATGATTTGAACAGTCTTCCCCAATCCCATGTCATCTGCCAAGATTCCTCCTTTTCTTCTGCCCTTATACAAGCTATAGAGAAAGGCGATGCCTTCCTTCTGGTGCTCAAAGAGTTGTTCATATAGTTCTCGATAAAGCAGCAGGCCGGAGTTACACACATCTGTAAATTCATCATCTTCTTCTTCTGCCAACTGCTCCAAAGCTTCCTGTAATTTTTGGATTCTGCTCAACACCTTTTTGGTGGGAAAAATATCCTTTGCCAAATTGAAAAGTTTCAATGCTTCTTCCAGCTCTCCATTCCTAGTTGCTTCTTTGCCTTCCTTCACATATCTATAAAAAAGGTTAAAAAAATGACATGAGACGCAAGTGGTAGAATGCTTACTTGGCATGCAAGAGACTGGGTTCAACCCTCAGTACAGGATGGCAGTGGAAGGACAAAGAAACAGACCGAACATTCAATCTAAGAAAGCTTTAGAATGCATTTTGGAATCCAAACTGTAGTTTGGAGTTTTAAAATTTTATTTATTTTTATTTTACATGTATGAATGTATTGCCTACATGTGTGTAAGTTCACCTGTATCACACAATGCCTGCAGAGATCAGAAGAGGGCACTGGATTCCCTGGAACTGGACTTAAAAATGACTGCTAGCAGCCATGTGTGAGCTAGGAAACCAAACCCAGGTCCTCTGCAAGAGCAGCCAGTGCTCTTAACCACTGAGGCATCTCTTCAGCCCCCTGGATTTTTTTGGGGGGGAGGGGTGTACCAATCTCAGGTATCCCAAGTTGGTCTCAAACTCACTATATAACCAAGGGTAATCTGAACTTCTTTTTTTAAAAAAAACTTTATTTTTTATTTTATGTATATACGTGTATTGCTTACATGCATAGGTTTTAAAATTTTTATTATTTATTTTTATTTTACATGTATGAATATTGCTTGCATGTAAGTTCACCTGTGTCATGCAATGCCCACAGAGGTCAGAAGAGGGTGTCAGATCCCCTGGAACCGGAATTATAAGTAGTTGTTAGCCACCATGTGGGTGCTGAATATGGGTGCTGGGATTCAAGCCCGGATCCTCTTCAAGAACAGTCAGTGCTCTTAACCCCTGAGCCATCTCTCCAACCCCATCACATAAATTTTTAAAAAGTCCATTTCACCCTACTTAGAATAACTACTTTTTTTTTGGTCTTTTTGAGACAAGGTCTCCCTGTAGCCCCAGCTGGCCTGGAACTTGCTATGTAGACCAGGCTGGCCTTGAACTCACAGAGAGCCCTCTGCCTCCCAAGTGCTGGGATCAAAGGCGTGTGCCACCGTGCCCAGCAGAATAACTACTTTCGAAAAGAAAAATGCTGGCAAGAATGTAGAAAAAAGGAACCCTTAGGCCAGGCGTGATAAAGCAAATATAGCAAAATGTTAACACGCATCTAGGTGGTGGATCAAAAAGAAAAAAAGGCACTGGAGATAGATCTCACTTGGTAAAGTGCCTGCTGAGCAAGCATGAGGAGGACTGAATTCAATCCCCAGAATCCAAGTAAAAAGCTGGGCAGGGTGCAGCAAGCTTGTAATCCCAGTACTAGAAGATTAAGGGGCTGCAGGTACTAACAGTTTGTACCTACTGTAAAAGAAGGTACCAGTATTCGAATTCTTCATTTTACTTAGACTTTATCCCAAAAGAGTCAGTCAGGATGTTAGTCACCAAATGCTCCCCAAAATAATGAATGCTTTTAACACTGGCCACTATGATCCATCAGATGCTAAAGCACATCTGCTATACTAGAAAAAGATCATCTGGTTTCAGCATTACTCAGTATCTGCTTCTCCCAGCGTAATCAACCAGCAGGCTCAACTGTCTGGAAGGGCACACTGTTGGCATGTAGTAGGAAGCTATCTTCCAGTTAGTTTTGGTGAAAAGGTATTTGCTCAATTCAGTCACAAAAGCAGCACTTACATTTTCAGGCCTAAATAACAAAGGACAAGTTCTAGAGCCTTCCTGCTCTTACTTTTAAATAGACTGTGCTCTTCCTGCCTGCTGATATGTCTCTGTGACAAGGCATAATGCCTGAAGGGGCAGTAACAGCTGTGGCTCTCTTTTGTGCCATAAAATTTGACCTATACAGTTCTTGTCTGTGGAATCAAGGCCAATGACACAGGTAATAACCACTATAGAAAGTCTTGCACTGTTTCCCTCAGAGCTTGTTTTAGGTAAAGCAGAGTAGAGCACTAGATAGTGTTAAGCCCCCACCAAACTCTGTGCAAGCTCCTACCCTCAGAGCCCCAGGCACACCATTAAACTGAATACCCACATTGCATCCATCTTTCGATATGTCTTATAATCTACAACAGAAGTTTTAAAAGAACGTTATTTGTCTACCCTAGCGGATGGAGGATAAGATCCCTCACTAGAAGAAAGTGGATGTGAATGTCTGCTGAGCACTCAAAACCCAAAAAGCACAAAAAGAAACAAAACAGCAAAATACAATAGCAACCTTAACCCCCTACACCTAGCAGGTGCCTGAAATAAGAATACTGAAACAAGAACAGTGTAGGACCAGTGAGATGACTCAGAGGGTAACGGCACTTGCTGCCAAGCCCCAAAACCTGAGTTTGATCCCAAGGACCGATATGGTGGAAGGAGAGAACCAACTCCTACAAGCTGTGCTCTGACCTCCTCATGCACACTGGGGCACACATATACCCACATACATACACGCACAAAATAAATGATTTTAAAACGAGTGTTTTATATTGTTCTAAAAGAGTCTACATTCTCAATTGTTAAGTCCACTGATCTATTGCTATACCACACTACCTCAACTACTATATCTGTTAAGTTTTAATTAAGGAACCACAAATCCTCTAACTTTTCTCAAAACCCATAAAATTCATAGAAATGGGAAAAAATGGTAGTCACCAGAGGCTGAGGGAAGACAAATGGGGAGCTATATAATGGTTACAGTTTCAGTTTTAGAAGATAAAGAGTCATGGAAAGAGATGGTAGTGATGGCTACAAAAATTATGAATGTATTTAACACCACTTAACTGTACATTTAGAAATAGTTAATATGATAAATGTAACACAATTAGTAAATTGTCAGGCCTGCAAATATAGTTTTATTTCTCCCTTTCTAATTTGCATGCCTTTCATTTCTCTTTCTTTGGTAACTGGCCTGCCTAGAACCTCTGTCATCATGCTGAATTATGACTAGAAGTGGCAGGACTAGACACACATGGAGTCTCGTTCTTGATGAAGGTGAAAAGCTTTTATTGTTGTTGTTGGTATTGTTTTGGCTTGGTTTTTTGAAACAGGGTCTCCCCGTAGCCGCAGCTGGCCTAGAACTCACTATGTAGACCAGGCTGGCCACAGTCTCACAGAAATCCGTCTGCCTCTACCTCCTGAGTGCTGGGATTAAAGGCATGCCACACCTGGCTAGGTCCTAGATTTTTTTCAAAAGCTTTTTCTGCACCTACTGAGATGAACATGTGGGTTTGCCCTTTGGTTTTAGACATGTTAAGCTTGTAATCTCTACTATCAAATAGAGATGTTAAAATGATTGGATACAGTCTGGAGTTCAGAAGAGGTCAGGAATAAAGATAAAAGTGTGATAGTCATTTGAGAAATACAAATTAAAACACAGTGAGGTATCACTTCATACCTGTTAGATAGGGTATTATCCAAAAGATGAATGTAGGGCCTGGAGAGATGGCTCAGTGGTTAAGAGCACTTGCTGAGGACCGGGGGTTCAGTTCCCAGCACTCACATGGAAGCTAACATCCATCTATAACTCCAATTCCAGGGGATCCAATGCCCTCTTCTGGTCTCTATGAGCAATGCACACACAGGTGCACTTACCTAGATGCAGGCAAAATACTCATACACATAAACTTTTTTTTGGTCTTTTTGAGACAGGGTCTCCTTGTAGCCCCAGCTGGCCTGGAACTATGTAGACCAGGCTAGCCTTGAACTCACAGAGATCCGCCTGCCTCTGCTGGGATTAAAGGCATGTGACACCATGCCCCCAGCTACATAAAAATAAATTTAAAGCAGAGGCAGGCGGATCTCTGTGAGATCAAGGCCAGCCTGGTCCACATTTGCATCTTCCAGGTGGGCTGGGACTAGGGAGAACCTGTCAAAATACAAATAACAAAAAAAAACAAAAATAAATTAATTACAGGGGTAGGCAGATCTCTGTGAGTTTAAGGCCAGCCTGGCCTATACAGCAAGTTCCAGTCCAGCCAGAGCTACATAGTGAGACACTGACTGAAAAAAAAAACATAAGTGCTGGTAAGAATGTAGGGAAGTGGGTGGAGAGATGCCTCATTGGTTCTTGCAAAGGACCTGGGTTCAATTCCTAGCACCCACATGGCAGCTAATAACCAAGCTGGCCTCTGCCTCTGCCTCCCACATGCTAGGATTAAAGGCATGGGCCACCACACCCACTGAGGCCCCTCTCTTTAGAGTTGCCCTTGGTACAGTAATTTCCTTTTGCCTTCTACCTCCCACCCCTCCCTAGTCCTTTGGTAAGATTTATTCACTTTTCCTTTTGCCCAGTATTTCTTTTTTTTTTAACAATTATGTATTTATTTAGGGGGTCGGGGACATTGTGGAGATCAGAGGACAGCTTACAGGAGTCAGTTCTCTCCTACCATGTGGGCTCCAGGGTGGAACCTGGTGGCAAGTGCCTTTACCCACTGAGTCATCTGGCTGGCCTTGCCAACTATTTCTGTGGTTAAGATGTTAACTGTTAAAACTTTCTTTTTGACTAAGAGTGTATTTCCTTGGTAAAGAACTTGACTACAGCATGTGCAAAAACCTGGATCTGATCTCCAATGCCCCCCCCCCAAAAAAAACAGATGTAGAGCCACATGCCTGTAATCCCAGCACTTAAGAGGCAGGAGGATCATGAGTTGGAAGCCAACCTGGTTTATAGAGCTAGGCATTTGTCCCAAACAAAGCAAAACAAAACAAAAACAGATTTACAAATCCCAGAGTATCTGATAATCTTGGTGAAGGCTGTCTGTCTTTATTATTTATCAATTAAAAATAAAATAGAGAGGCTAGAGATGGCTGAGTGGTTAAGAGTACTGCCTGCTCTTGCAGAGGACCCAGGTTTAGTTCCCAGCAGGCAGACCTCTGTGAGTTCAAGGCCAGTCTGGTCTACATAGTAAGTTCCAGAACAGCTGGGGCTACAGGTAAACCCTATCTCAAAAAAAAGCTTAATTGAAAAGGAAAACATGCGAATGTTCTCAGAATAAAGAAGAGATTTAAAGTCAACAACCAAAGCAGGATCACTAAACGAAGATTTTGTTTTGTTTTGGTGTTTTTGTGAC